CAGATGATTAAATCCGAGAAGAGAAAAGCACAGCCTGAGTTAAAGACTTTTTTCTACAAAGGAGTAGGTGGAAGCCATATAGAGGGCTGGAGAATGATGCTTGGGAGTTGGAATTTTCAAGCCCAGATCGATTTAACACTTGTTGAAACTTGTGAAAAGTTTCAAGTTGAAGTTAAACCGAGCTGATGTTTAACACTTGTTGAAACTTGAGAAAAGTTTACAAGTTGAAGTTAAACCGAGATGATGTTTAACACTTATTGAAACTTGTGAAAAGTTTACAAGTTGAAATTAAACCGAGGTGATGTTTAACACTTGTTGAAACTTGTGAAAATTTTACAAGTTGAAGTTAAACCGAGATGATGTTTAACACTTGTTGAAATTCTGAGAGAATTTACAAGTTGAAGTTAAGCCGAGATCATGTTTAATACTTGTTGAAATTTTGAGAGAATTTACAAGTTGAAGTTAAGCCGAGATCATGTTTAATACTTGTTGAAATTCTGAGAAAATTTACAAATTGAAGTTAAACCGGAGTCCTGATTAAAGGAATGAATGATTTAGGTTCCATCACCTCAGGATGCCGAGGTAATAGAACCTAGAGGGCAGTTGTGGGGACATAATTTTTGAATGAAAACACGTGGCCGAGGTGTCACCGAGGTGCCAGCCGAGGTGCCACATGTCCTGGTTATGACGCCGAGCTAATCTCGGCTAGGCCGAGGTTATCTGCGAGAATACTGAAATCCAGGATAAGCGGATAACGGGCAAGAGTCCTAGAATGGGAGAAGACTTCAGTTTGGATAAAGATAAGACTCTTAGAGAGTTTATCCTAATCCTACTGGGAGTCCAAGGTTAGCAGTAATCCTAAGTCCATTAGAGCTAGGCTTCTATTGGGACTAGGATTGTGTTGGCTATAAAAGGGAGGCACCCCCATGGGTCTAAGGTATGTCTTTTATGCTTTTGATATTTTGTCTAGTGAGTTAAGCACTATTGGTTATCTTTGAGAGATATTGAGTACTGACTTGATCGTCGGAGTGCCCCAGGGTGGATGAGCCACCGCCGAAAACTCTTCTTTCTGTTGCAGGTCGTTAAGGCTTAATCTATTCTTCCAGTGCTCTCTAGCTGGGTACCTGTTTGGCAGTGTGGTCAGAAAATCACCCACACAGTTTGAATTTAATCTGTAAGAATATTTTAATCCTTGTTGGCACGCTCGCATTTATGGTATTTTCCTTTGTAGGAAAAATAAGCCAACAATTTTTGGCATGTCCAATGGGACGTCAAGTGTATGAAATGAAAAACGAATTGGATTCGTCTATTTCAAATAGCCTAGATGAAATCTTTTGGTGTAAACAAAATATTTTGGATCTTCAAAAGAAATCTATTTTCTTGATGAAACAAATTTCCATCCATTACAATATTATTTGGTGGAAGAAAAAAGATGCGATTTAATTGGAGAAATTCATAAACTTAATAAGGAAGTTCGCCAATAGAATGATGAATTGTCAACTCTCATTACCAAGTCTTTAACCGAGGCTTTAATGACCAGAATTGGTGAGTATTTTCAGAATTCTTTCATTGTTGAAAATGGAAAAAGGAAAAAGATTATTTCATCAATGGCTTAGAGGTTTAAAAAACCATTTTTAAAGAGTCAACTTATGAAAATAACATGGCTAAAAAGCTTGTTGCTGAGTCAAACATGATTAAAAACGATGTTCCATATAAGGCTTGGAGGTCAAAAAACTCATTCTTAGAAAGTCAAGCCATGGAAGTAACATGTTTATGAAGGATTTTCATAAGCCATTAATGGGTAAAATGAAAAATAGTTCCATTTGTTAATGAATGATGAAAGTTTTTTAGCCAAAGAACATGTTCTTAGATTAAACGTGATTAAAGATGTTGATCAACCCACTGTTGATGGATTTAAAATATTTAACATTATTGAAAATGTCAAAGCATTTAAATTTCCAAGGTTATATTATGCCATGACTTTCGGTGTTCAAAACCTATTTTGGATTTGTGGGCTGCATCAAAATTTAATTTTGATGAAATAACTAATAAAAAAATCATCTTTAAACATTGTTCTTTTAAAGCATTAAAATATGCCGTGAGCACCATCGGAGTAAGGTTTTGGTTCTTTTTTTAACAAAATTGAATCATGTTAAAAAACTTTTGAATGCGTGTTTCCCTTCGAATACATTAATTAATTACCAAATATGAATTAAATTGATGTACAACTCTTTATGAATTCGAGGTTTCACATTTTGAAAGAGTTATGGGAAATAATGTTGGCACCATTAATAAATAATTTTATTAGTTATTATCTATATAATTGCAGGATATGTAGCACTCTCCTACTCATTTAGAAGTTATAAGAAATTATGAATCATTAAACACATGTGACAAGATGATAGATGACAAAGTGGAGAACATGGAACATGAATTAGAGATTAAAGAAAGTCATAGACACATAGAGATGAAGTGGAAGATTATGGTCCATAGTGTAGGAGAGGGTTCAAGAAAGGAGTTGGAAAATTCGAAGATCTTCGAAGATCCTTGAAGAACAATTTCGAATTCTCTAGAATATGATGAGAGGCTTAGATTCTTCAATAATCTCAACTTAGGAACACGACAACAAAGGAGATGATGGAGATAAGAGATTGGGTGAAGAAGAAGGCAAAATGGCTAGAGAATAGAATAATGGCAAGGCTCTCCCATTGATCTCCCACTTTCACTCTCAAGGTTGATAATGCACAAAATTCAGGGCTCTCACGGTCCTTTTTTGATGGCATTTCTTCAACATAAGGCAATTTTAGCTCTCCGTCAGCCACCCATTCCTTAACTAGAGCTTTCACTTCCTCGATTCCACATGGATAAGAAACATTCCCCTTTTCACCATTATATTGCTTCCTCTTCTGGCCTCTATGACCTCCTCCTTGTGAATTTCGGGTATCCGGGGCAGAGGCAGCAGCAACAATAGGTCCACGAGACGATTTGAAACTAGTCTTGTAACTGGCTTTAAATCCGGACTCCTGACCATAGATGAGTCCAACTATGGGTAGTAATGCTTGATAAACTTTGCATTGAGCGGGCCAGTTCGGAAGCCGTCTTCAACCCTTACAAGTTTGTAGTACCCGCTTGAGCTTGCCTGAACCAGAATTTTTTATTATTACAAGAATTAACTTTAAAAAAAAAAAAAGAAATTTGTACCTACTTTTCCATACAATGATAAAATTACCTAATGGTATTTAGTAAATTTTTTAAAGTTTTTTTCACAAATATTATACTTTTTAATTATATTTATATTAACTGTATTTAAAAAGTAAAAAAATTGTTTAAAATAATTAAAAAAATTACTAACAATAAAAAAATATGAAAAAAAAATAATTTTCAAAAAATTAAATTTAAAAAATTAGAACCAAACAATATAGTTCGAAGCCAAGTGTTTAGGACCTCTAGGTTCGTGGATCCGAACCCTTTCGAGTCCGAGTGCCTCGGATCTCTAGGCGTTCTTAATACCCTTTCGAGTCCGGGCTTGAGTAAGTCTCTAGGTTCGTGGATCCGAATCCTTTCGAGGCTTAGAGCCATTCAGCCCGTTTGACGGCGATAAATCCAAGCCCACCAATCTTGGACTTGCGATAAATTCGGGCCCACTAATCTTGGGCTATTGGGCCTAAATAATTTAGTGGGCTTAAATTAGCTCCTCTTACACATAGTTATTAAACAGTTTTTTCCTACAAATGTTTGCCTATAAATAGTCATTCATGGCTACATTGTAAAAGACACCCATAACTCAAATCAAAGATAATTAATTTCTATTTTTCTTGTCATTTGAGCTTGTTTGGTAACCATTTCGTTTTCAATTTTCAGGATATATTTACATAAATTTAAAAAACTGTCATAAAAACTTATTTGATAATTTTTTTGATTTATAAATGGTTGTCTCAGTTTATAAATTTGAGGAAAAAAACGTAAACTCAAAAAATGAGTTTACATTGGTTTTTAAACAGACATAAGATATTCTTGTATTCCAATAAATCTTATTATTTAAACATTTGATCTACCAAATCCTAAGTCTCATATTTAAACTATTTTATGAATATTTTTACCCTTACAAATATTTTTTAAACGGTTAGCAATTTAGTAATGTAAACATTTATATTTTACAATGTGAATATTCACATTGACGGTGTAAACATTCACATTATGAAACATTCACACTGTAAATATGAATATTATTAGGGGTATTTTGGAAACTATGTCATTCATAGGAATTTTTTTTTTTATCGACAACTTAATGGAATATAAGAAAATAATGTGGACTAAATGAAATATAAGTAGGTGAAAAGGAATTTATGAAAAAATGCCCCTAAAAAGTATAATATTTGTGGAAAAAAAAAACTTAAAAAAATATGTTAAATACCAAAAAAATACGAAAATTCAATACAGTTTTCGTATTTTTGTGTATTTATTAAAATTTTAAAATATTTTTTTATAAATATTTTACTATTTAGATATATCTAAGTAAGGTGCATCTAAAAAAATAAAAAAATTGTTTACAATTTAAAAAATATTTACTAAAAATAAAAAAATAAAAAATTCAATTTTTCAAAATTAAATTCAGAAATTTTAAAAATGTATTTTTGTCCAACGTATCATAAATTAAAAACAAGTATCTCCAGGACCCTTGTTAATATTAGAAAGGTCCCGATTCTTCAATGGTCTCAACTAAAACAAATAAAAAAAAAACAATGATTCATCCCACTAAAAACATCACCACTAATAACACTAATGCATTAAAAAAGTAAAAAAAAAAATAAAAAAATACAATTCCAAGACCAAAACATCACATCATTAATGGTGGGACCCACTGCCACCTAATTAGTGCTCCCAAGCATTTTTCCAAAAAAAAAACAACAACATCATATTAGAAAAGTATACAAATTATAAAATATTTTAAAATTTATTAAATTTAATAATAAATGTTTCGAAACTGACATATTTTTGTCATTTTGTCATCTCGTTGTATAGGGCCTTGTTAGCAACACCAAAAACAAAATAAAATCCCCCCTTGAATGACCGAAAGAAGAAAAAGAGAAGAGAGAGAAGAACAGCAGTCGAGCTCATCAATCTGAGTTTCCACAATTAATCAGGTGATTTTTTTCTCACTATTTAGATATGCAAAAACACACAAATCAGACGATTTTTTTCTTTGTTTAATTCATTTGTTGTTTTGTTGTTTTTGTATGCTTAATACCCACCAATTGTTTGATGAAATACCCATTCTAAATACAATTCATTAGACTGAGAAAGACTCATTCACTGGATCTCTAATTTCTCTTATCTTGTTTGAGTCTTATGTGATAAGAAGTTGCAGTTGGAAATTGGGTCAACTACAAAAACACTACATGAATAAATAGTATCATGAAAATGCAAAGCTAAATGGAATTGGGTATGCTTGGAGAAAGGGTAACGTAGAGATTTCAAATTTATATATTAGGCAAATTACAATTCCACTTTGGTTCTTATGTTTCAATTGAAGCATTGTTTTCATCTGGGTTTGTAACGAAATATTGTACTTCAATTAGTTCCCGTTAAAAGAAGAAAAAGAAAAAGAAAGATGGAAATTGATCACACGAGTGGGCACATAGGCTGCAATGACGGGGATTGAAAGGAATAAAATTACATTTGAAGCGATAGGGAAGAGAGCGGAGCAAAATCAGGAAGAGAGAGAGAGAGAGAGAGAGAGAGAGAGAGTAGCATAAGAGTGAGTGAGTGAGTGAAAGAGAGAAACACATGAGAGCGGAAGCAAAGTGCATGAGAGTGGCTGCCGCGGTCAGTGCTGCTGATGGGGAAAATGGGTTGTGGCTGAAATTTATTGAGACAGGAGAGAGATTCATGCAGAGGTTAAGAAACTGAAGATAGAAGATAATGGTGTAATGGAGAAAAAAAGGAGGGAAAGAAGCATTGAATTGATGATGATGGACAATGATTCCACTGAGAGGAGTGTCGCGGAGTCAAATTGGGTAATGGAGGGATTGAAAAGAGGTTGAGGAAATAGTTAGATAGAAGGGATTGAGGAGGAGAAAAGTGTGGAAGTGATGAAGAAAAATGAATTGGAAGCTGCAAAGGCTGCACTCAATGATGGTACTGAATCTGCAAAAGAGGAACAGAGGGTGTGGGCTAATGTAGCCGAATTGGAGAAGAGTACGTGGAAGGTGTGGTGAAGGAGATTGATGTTTTGGTGATAGAAAATGAGTAAAGGGGTTTTGAGAGATTGATTGAGGAAAAGAGTTTGGTCAAGAATGGATGACCAGAAGAAAAAAATGGATGAAATAGTTCAACCATCTATGTCTGCGTTTCAACAATTTCACTCTCAGTTCTTTCACCTTCTCAATCTCAATTTTCCTTTTCTGGGTTTACTAATGCATGGAAGAAAAGAGTTAGGCGAATTCTGTGAACAATTTGCCCATGATACAAAATTACAGTATCCTCACAAATAGAAAAAACAAAAAATTGAAAAGTCTTCCAAGTACTTTTCCAAGAAATCCAGAAAACATAAATATACAAAAAATCAATTTCAGCAACAAATACCTTCAAAAGGAAAACAAAAATATTCCAGAAAAAAATCTAAATCCACAATTAAATGTTATAAGTGTGGACAAATCGGTCATTACGCCAATCGTTGTAAATCCAAAATACAACAAAAGCTTAATGAACTATCTTTAGATAATGAAGTTCAACAACAGATTCTCAGAATACTTTCTGATGAATCCGACACCTCATCTAATGATGAAGATGAAATTGCAGCATTATACTCATCAGATAGTGAACCGAATTCTGATGAACCTCCAGAAATTTGTGAATGTAAAACTCACATTAATCAAAAGTTGATATGAAATCAGGATGTTGGCAAGTCCAGATCGCTGAACAAGACAGATACAAAACTACTTTTACAGTACCTTTTGGGCATTTTGAATGGAATGTCATGCCATTTGGTTTAAAAAATGCTCCATCTGAATTCCAACATATTATGAATGATATTTTTAATCCATATACAGAATTTTCCATTTGTTATATTGATGATGTTTTAATTTTTTCCTCATCAATTGACCAGCATATGAAACATCTTAATAAAAAATTGGTATAAGCTTGAGGGAAAAAGTTTTGAAAACGGAGAAGATGATTGAAGAAACACAAAAAGTGGTAGCTCAAAAGGAAATCCATACCAGTAATGGAGTTATTCAGGTGGATCTATGCTGAAGAGTGTTAATTTTGTTGGTTGGTAATTGAATCTTTCATACTTTATTGCTTCATTCATGAGTAGGTTAAGTTTATATTCTATGATGCTAAACCGTTATATTTTGATAGCTTAGGACTACACATTTTGCAAGAGGAATTTCGGCCATTGATCATAACTTATTATTCTATCCTTAAAGAGTTTTATTTATTTATTTATTTATTTTATACAGGTAATGGCGGATTGGTCCAAACTGCCAGATGAAATCTGGAGGCTAATTGTAAAAAGACAGCGTTTAATTGAAGATTATGTAAGGTTTGGTGGGGTTTGTAGGTCATGGCATTTGATTACTCTTGAGAAGGAGAACTATTCATGTTCAGAGCTTCCGTGGGTGATGCTCACTGAAAATGAAACTAGTAACATTCGTGAGTTCCATAGTATTTTCAGTAATAAGGTTTACAAACTGTACTTGCCAGATATTCGTGGAAGGCGGTGTTGGGGCTCTTCTCATGGTTGGTTGGTCACTGTTGGCACTGATCGAGAGATGAACATATTAAATCCTCTGACACGAGTTCAAATTCCCCTCCCACCATTACATAAGTGCCCAAATTTGAAAAAACTAATTTGCACCCCTAAAGAATTTCGCAATTATTTTGTGTGCAAAGCTGTTCTATCCTCAAATCCATCTGACCCAAATTGTATAGTTATGGCTATTTATTCAGATCATAGGAAGATGGCATTTACAAAGCTAAGTGGCAAGGCTTGGACTCCATTGGAGTGTTCTCCTGTATGGCTTGAGGACATTGTTCACTTGAATAATTATTTCTATGCTGTTGACTCTTTCTGTAATGTGCTGGTGTTTGATTGTACCGGCTCTCATCTAAAGACTATATCTTTTACAATGTTGCAAGAAGAAAGGGAAATGGACTACGAAGCTAAATATCTTGTGGAGTTAGGAGCGGAGATATATATGGTCCTAAGATGCCTTTATGACACTAGAATTGCTGATACCCCATATTTGAAAACATGGGGTTTTGTAGTGTACAAGTTGGATTTATGCAGTGAGAAGTGCGAGGAAGTGGATGGTTTGGGAGATTGGTGCATCTTCTTGGGCAGTAATTATTCCTTCTCCATATCAGCTTCTTGTGCTGACTTGAAGTGTAGGAAAAATTGCATTTATTTCACAGACGACTATTATGGAATGTATAGCAGACAGGGAAGCTATGATATGGGACTATATGATCTTGACAGTTGCAAGATGGAGCCTTGTATTGTAGAGCATGTCTCGCATTATGATTATTCTGTACCCCTTTGGATCAGGCCAAGTTTGTGGTAATGCTTACCGATAACTTAAAGCAGGAAATCCCATTCCAGACGATCATGTCTCTTCATCATATAAAGTTTGAAGATGATATTGGCTCCATAAGTATGCTAAACATCTACTTTTTGGTATGTCATTTTAGAAGGGGCTTTTTTTTTTTTTCTTTCTTTCTTTCTTTTTTCCATTTAAACTACAATATTTGCATCTCTGTTATTTGTTAGATAATCTTTTTGTAACATGTTCTGAAAGTTTGAGACATGATGTTGGTATTTGAATGATATTTGCTAAATTTAGAGGTTTGATTATTCACTTATGTGTGGATCTTTTCTCACTTTCATTAAGGTGTAACACATAACCAAAATCTAAAATTAATGGTTTATAATGATTTTTCAAGTTTTCTAGATCCCAATCATTAGGTCTCATCTCATTACTTTGGGGGATTTTAATAATGACTTCTAAAGATTTAATGTTTTTTCACTAAACCAATGATCCTCTAACAGGTTGGCTTCACACCTAAAGCAATGAAACTCCAATCTTCCCTGAGCTATTTGAAGCTAATAGTAATAAAAAAAAATTAGAGAGTTCTTAAATAAATAAATAAAAAACTACAATGCCCTTACATCTCAAATAAAGGTCTTCGAAGGCTAAATCAACTCTATAAAAGGTCCAAAAAGAGTTGCCGAAAAGTTAATAGGCAAAGTGATGCTAGCAAAAATAAATAAATAAATCTTTAGTTCAATAAATTTTATTTTTACTTTTCAAATTAGAATAAAGTTTTTTTTTTCAATAAAAATATAATTACTTTGAGTGGTTTCTTATTAAATTCAATTTCTCCTAATAAATTTTACAATGTGCGTAAATAAATAACAACCATGATACAGACCCTCGTTACCCCTTACACACGTAGGAGTTAGTGATTGGAGAAAGAAAAAAAAAAAATTGATCAATGATCGCCCACTGGGGGTCTTGGGGGTCTCCCAATGGGGTCCCAAGCATGATGCCATAAATAAACATTATTTAAATTAATATTTAAATATATAAAAACTCCATTTGAGATTTTAGGCCCTCAAAGTAGGAGAATCACCGTATCTCTCAAATAATTTTGTTTACTTTGATTGGACTTCCTAATGACCAATGACTAACAATCAAATATAATGGCCATTAACTCAATTCAACAACCCCAATCCATCCATCATGAAAGTTCTCATCATCATAAAAGCTATAATAAACAACATGTATGGAGATCATATAGAGTCTCTTCAAATTCTTGCACCATTTTCTGTCTTTGTCCATGGCAACAACAACAACTACTACCGGAATCGTTCCAAGTAAACCCCACTTCTTCAAGCCCCTCCTTCCTGGTTTCCACCATGGACTCGTAATTACTCTCTCTCTCCCTCTCTATTTCTCTCTCTCAACTAAATCAACTAAGTTGATTCGAGTAATAAGTTGTTCAAACTTAAAATGAATTGAAACTTGACTTGCTTACTCATGTTGAGATAAAATAAAATTTAACTAAGTTTATAACAAATTAAATTAAATTTGAGTACCTGAATTTTTTATAATGCATATTAGTTTATTGAATCAAATATAGTAACTTATTCAACCTTGGTTTGAGAACTTTACAAATTTCAAACTGTGTTAGAGCTTAACTTGTTTTTCATAATGAACCAATCTCGAACGAGTTTTTGACAAGTTGAACACGAATCAAGCTTTTGTAAGTTTAGTTCCTTTTACAGCTTTACTGCTAACTATATGCATTTTGTTTGCAGAAGATCCCTGTTTCTTTCTTCAAGTACTTAAACAATGAGAACTGTGAACATGCTGTACTGAGAACCAGTTGTGGGATGTGGCAAGTGAAGATCGAAGGTGATCAACGTTTTGAAGGTGCAGGTTGGACAGATTTTGCGAAGAGACATGATTTGCAAGTGGGTGATTTCTTGGTGTTCAGACACGAAGGAGACATGGTGTTTGATGTTATGGCGTTTGATCAAAGTGCCTGTGAGAGAGAATATCAACCCTTGGATGTCGATGATGATGATGAAGAAGATGAAGATGAGGACGAGGACAAGGACGATGAAGAAAGTTCAGAGTCAGAGTCTTCCAAGGACATAAGCCGTAAGCTAATTTACTGCAATCTGCTAAATAGGAAGAGCAGTGATTTGAGAAATGTTTATACAAATATTTATTCAAAAACAACAATATTTCATGATGTATCCTAGTAATATTTTGGTAAAAATAAATAAATGATACATAGCAGTTCTCTAAAGTAATTATTTCAACCCCTACATAAAATTTATAGTTTGGCCTCTACATGTAGATTGTGTGTTTGATTAGTGTGTGGTTGTAGAGTCAAATAAGATCTTTAACAATTCACCAAAGGCTTCTCATCCAAAAGGAGGAGGAGGAGGAGCTTCTTGTTCCAAACCGAGTCACCCTTATTTTGTGACCATTTTAAAGCCCTATAGTTTTGAAGCTTCTAGATTGGTAAGTGTTTTGAAATATATGTACTTGAACTTTGAAGCACAAGAGCATTTAAAAAATAAAAAATTGTTAATAAAATGGGTTGTGATTTTGTTGTTGCAGTTCATTCCACGTGGCTTTGCAAGGTCAGAGGGCCTAATCGACAGACGTTGTGAGATGATCATCAGAGATGAACAACAACAAAAGTCATGGCAAGTGAGGTTGAGCCACAAGTGTGATGGTCAAGTTTATATTGGTAGAGGTTGGCGTGAATTTCGAATTGCAAATGGGCTTAAACAAGGAGACACTTTGTCCTTTGAGCTCATTTGTAAAGGGACGAAGCCTGTTATTGGTTTCCATTGTAAGTTTTGCATATTCCTACCCCATCTTTATATGTAATGGTGCTTTTTTGCTTTTTTTTTTTTTTTTTTTTCAAGATTTAAAGACAAAATTAAATAAATAAATAAATAAAATTTTGTTAAAACATTTTTGCTGATATGGAAATTGGTTCAATTTTGTTACTTCTTTGTGAAGAACTAACATGGAATTATTTCTGATTATGTTGTGATCTCTTGAAGGGTTGAAAGGAAATTCGAGAGCTAATGAGATGGTAAATGCTAAAATGGAAAAAAGCTCTACAAATACAAAACTCACAACACCACAGTACTTTATTGCCACTCTGACTCCACATAATTTCAAGTGTTCTGAATTGGTAAGTATATATATATATATATGATGGATGAGATTTTTCTAAAATTTGATTGAATTGAGTTTCTATGCACAATATAACATATATATATATATGTTTGTTGGTTGGTGTTGTAGTATATTCCAAAGGAGTTTGCAAGGCTGAATGGTATAAGCAAGTACAGCGAGATGACCATAAAAGATGGAAAACAAAGAGAGTGGGTAATGAATATGAGGAGACAGAAGTGCGGTAAGAGATTGTACATTGGACAACAAGGTTGGAAAGAGTTTGCTGCTGCAAATCACCTCAAAAATGGAGATGTTATCAAGTTAGGCCTCCTCAAGGCTGGGAAGAAGACGCTTACCATGAACTTCACTTTTTTTGGTTGGTACTTTCTTATTTATTTGAATTTGGCTTTGGACTCATAATTTTTGGATTGGACAGATCAGTAACTAGAGAGAACTTCAACCACACCCACCCCCCCCACCCCCCTCTTTTTTTGGGTAGCTAGGGGGAAGTCGAACCCTTTTTATTTATTACAAAAAAATGTGCACATAAAATAAATGTGGGGCCTAGATTTATTCTAGGTATGGTCTTCCCCAAACTCATAATGAATATGAAATCACACATTAAAAGGTAGGTAAAGTTTAAAAAAAATATTGTTAGTCTTACGCTTTTGACAAAATTATATTGATTTTTAAATAACCGAAACTAATGCAGATGGTAGGTAGAGATTGAAATAAACAAAGATATATATATATATATATATATATATATGTATATATGTTTTGGGTACATAGTAAAAAGTCAACTTTTTGGTTTTTAGCTTTAAAGTCACCAAAAAAACCACAAAAAAACAGATTTTTTAGCACAAAAAGCCAAAAAGTCACAAAAAAGTCAAAAAAATAGCTTTTTACTAACTTTTCAAAACACCACAATATCATTTTTTCATTCATGTGACTAACAAATTACTGATGAAAATAAACTAGTGTAATTGTATTAAAAGTGTGAAACTACCTGTATTTTTTTCAAATTTCAGAGAATGTGAGTTTAATGTACCCTTAATTTCTCTTAAAAAAGTGTAATGTGAAAAAATTGCACAGAAAAATTAACGTGTCACCGTGATGTATGTTATGAGTGATTAATTTTGAGTCACCTTGATTTATTATGATAAATCACACTCATAATAAATTAATGGCACATGTAGCATTGCCTATTTTATAGGGTTGAGTCACCTTTTTTTGCATGAGACTGAAACAACGAATATGGTAACAGGTGGATCATCAAGAACAAAGGGCTTACACAATGGGAGCAATAATTAATACCATGAAGTACAAGTAGAGCTCCAAAGACTCTTTTTGTCATCATATATGTATATATTAGGTACTAATGTGGACATGCTCTTGCTTTATGAATTATGTAACTGTGTTGTTTAGTACTGCCGTAAGTTTGTGTGTAATGATACAGTACGTACTTTTTAAAAGAAAGATGGATATCATGTGCTAAGTTTATGTATTATTATTGTGTTGTTAAAGTCTGTAAAAGAACATAGTTTAGCTACTCATGTTGAGCCAGTAACTCCACAGACAATCCATTTCCGTTGAGGAACTGGACAAAAGGGGCTTAGATGGGCCCAACAACACAGTGATTGCTGAGGAACTGAACAAAAGGGACTTAGATGGCCCCGACAACACAGTGATTACTGCGCACGAGGAATAAGGAGGTGCTCCCTCAAGAAAAACAAGTATAAATCAAAAGCTACTTTTATCTCTCCATGTTAACATTGCTAAACTATTGCTGAATCCTACTTCAAATGAGATTTGCTGTAAGCTAGTTTGGGATGCAGGTTGATTTTTTGACTTTTTGACTATTTTAACCTAGTGTTAAAAAGTCTTGTGTGGGATAGATTTTTTTAACTTTTTTTATTTTTGTAATAGAAGAAATAAAAGAATTATAGATTGGATGTGACATTGTCATATTTGACTAAAATAATCTATTTTGCCTTATATAGTTATTTTAGCCCCAAGAGGGCATGCCAAACGAAACAGTACACAATCTAATGAACATCCAAATCAGAAAGCCACTTCCCCCTACATGGTTTTGCACAACAATACAATCAAAGCAATCATACATACCCAAGCCTGATGAATGTTTTCTTCTATGGAAAATTATTCGATGCCTTTTGGAGTTTCTCTGAACTTCTTCTGTAACGGTAATCATTCTTGGCAACGCGAGTCGTGGTTGTCAAATGATCTAGCAGAGTTGGCCTAGTCATCGTCTGGTTCAGCTGAGAAGTCTGGCTCTTCTGGCTTCTGCAACTTTGGTAACTCGACATCCTTGATCTTCTGAGCTCCTCTCCTTGTGTTGGCAGCGAATCTTGACGCAAGTATCATCACACCCAAGTTCTGTTTTGCCTGAGAAGAATTTGCAGACGGAGTATTGTCCTTTTCCTCATCTTGTTCATTTTCATCAACCAGTCGGTCGTCACGAACAAAGAACGACTCGCTCATGCTAAGGTTCTTTGCCATCACTCTCCTCTTGTATCGGTGCCAAGCAGCCTGAATGAAGCACGCTGCCCATGTCCTCCAGTGGTAAGAGTAGAATCGGAATGTGTGTTGTAGCTTTTTGCTGTGAAGCCGTCTAAACTGATTTGCCACAAACCTGAGATCTTCTGCTCGCAACGCGAAAGCTTCTACTTCGACAAGAGCTTTCACGGTTCTAGTGGAAGAAGGCAAGTTGACAGTTGATTTTGGAAGCAACGCCCACGCAAGTAGTTCCTCCCCACAGAAATCACCCGGTCTTAATGTAATTGAATTGAAGAAACCCGTGCGCCCTCCATTTGTGGTGGAGCTCTCAAGTCTCCCTCTGATGATAAAAAGCATCTCTGTGATGGGATCGCCCTCACGAACTATGTATGTGCCTTGTGTACTTAACGATGATACTAGGCGCTCGCATATGGCATCAAGCAATTGATCGTCCATCTGTGAGAAAAAGGGGACCTGAAATTGGGGGGAAAATGCAAGTCAATTAACCAGCGATAAGTGCAGTAAACCATAGCAACACCAAAGATTTCTGGGATAAAAGCATATAACACATCATTAAAATGTAAGGGGAACATCTTACACGTCGAACAAGGTCCAAACAAAGGTGGCATTGGATGTCTCGACGGAGATCTACAGGTAAGGCACGCAATATTGATTCTTCATCGACTCCACGTGTTGCAAGCCACTTGTATTGAACGAAACGCCGCACACGAACTTGCAAATCATGAGGGAGCTGCCGATGTTTCATCCACTCCTCAGTGTCTCGTCTCTTGAGTCTCCACTCTTCAAGCCTCACAGTTATAGATTGCAAGTAGGTCTGCAATTAAAAGGACATGTACAAAGGATGGGGTATAAAACTTCAAAAGAATGTAAAAAGGAGGAAAAAAGTGCTTTTATACCCCAGAGAGAGAGAGAGAGAAAGAGAGAGACTAGGTTTTGAGCTTAAAATAACAACTTTTTTATCAGCAACAAAGGGAATATTATTAATAAGGAAAAATAAGAAGGAGCACAAGCGAGACAAAGAATAATTGAGCTGTGGACTTTAATTTACTTTTGAGGACAAGTATAGTCATTGAGACTTCAAAAGTAGTAAAAGGGAACAAGGGATCCTCATAGTACCTGCATGTTTCCAATCAAATGGGCAAACAAAACCAAACCCACGATGGCGATGAGTATCGCAAATGAAGTTTCCCCAATAAATGTGCTTGTAGACAAGTTCTGGCCGTATGAACTGCAAAATATAGAAAGCAAAAGATATGTCAAAATTTTTAGTAACCAAGAATGATATTGGCAGCAAATAAGAGGAATTTCATAGCAAGAAATAAAATTTCATTTCATTTCTATCAAAACAGTTGAAATGTTCCTGTTTTCTAGGAAACCAAAATGCAACATTAGTGGAATGCCAAAACTCCAACGTTTTCACCGAAGTGTAGTGTTTCAGAGAACATATGGAAACTACGAGTTATTCGACACCTATTAGGAATATGGTCATTTCTGTTGTATCTTTTTATCAAAAAAAAATATTTGATGAACTAGAAAGGAGAAGAAGAGAGAGAGAAAAGAGAAGATGAAACAAGTATGATTGAGCCACTCATTCTCTTTCTTTTTTCATTCCCGCTACTAGTGGAATTTTGCAAAAAAAAAAATTCTCTATATAATAGAAAACCCTTTCCGACCTTTAAACCTTTTGTTTATAAGCCTCTAATATTCATATAAGTCGACATATTTACAAACCAAAATATACTTGTTTTAGTTTTGTTTCCAAACATTTACGTAAATTCTAAATTCTCATCATTTCTCTTATGTTTCCAAAATGTTTTTGAAACATCTTCGTTTCCAAGCTAACCAAAACAAAATTTTGATCCTTGCTCTAGTGTGTCCGCAAATAGATAGCTTCTTGGGATAATCATATCATACCTTAAATTCTGTAACCCCCACCACAAACAATATAAGTACTTCTCAAGGAATTCTGAGGAGACGATGTTGTTTGAGACTGCATTTTGAAATATACCATAATTGAAAGTGATTGTGTTAGCAGGATCACAATTACTGAACACTGCAGTACGATTTGCCCATTTTATACGATCCTCATCGTCCAAAGTACCACAATCCAGAAAACGGAGAGAACATCTCAGAGGGCTGAATTCATGTCTGCAGGCTGATTTCCAGCATGTTGCATACCGTTCAATTGACAACAAATACCAAGATGCCCCTAAGATCTACAAGAACAGAACCTTTAATTTAGCAAAGGCCACAAGGTGTGATTCAATTTGAAAACAGGTTGGAGAAAAAGGAAAGAGAAGCTACATACATGACTAGCTAACATATAAAGAAGGAGATTGTATGCAGCACCTGACCAAGCTGTCTTCGCAACTAATCCTGTAGCTTTAATGATTTCAGAACTTAATGGGAAAATTAGGTAGAATCGAGGAATATACTGGAGGAGAACAATCAGTACAAGGGCATTGTTCGTGTGATCGGCATGGGAACTTCTAATTGCAGGTATAATGAACCATATGACAATCTGCCAAAGCAAGTTAACCAAAGTTTTATTAGGCCATTATATTTGAAAAGCAAAAATCGATCATTAAGTCAAGAAATTGATTACCACAGTATAAAGAAGAGAAAAACAAAAAACAAAATAATCAAAAGACCTTGTTATTGTGAGAACACGATATTACATCAAACACTAATATCTCATAGCAATCACTACAAAGACTATGAAGCTAAAATTAGGATGTCATGACTCATACTAGGTTTGAGCTTAGTATAAGAACTTTTTTTTTCCCTTTTTGATGAGCAACAAAGGGAATATTATTAATAAAGAAAAATAGAGTAGAGTACAAGAGAATGATAGATAAGAAGTCTGCCATAGTAAACAAAAGAGATGAGAAAAGCAAAATCTCATCAAGACCACAAACTACAAATTACACGCCGCTCTCCAATCCTTAGAAATAAAATATAATGTAATCCCCTTAAAAGGTTTAGAAGCAAAAACCCAAAAAGATGATGAATAGCACACACTGTCCTATAAAAAATCAGTGTCCTAATAAACCCTTGCATAGGGCTCCAACCAAATTCCCATCTCCAATCAATTTTTTGTTTGGTGACTAGACAAATTTTAACTGAAGACTCTATGTAAACATAAACAATGCAAGCTTCACATGAAAATCAAATTCCCCAAAATTGAATTGAATCACATGACATCAAATTCCAAATCAAGTACCTGAGGAAGAGGCAGTGTGGCAATCACATCAATGAAGAAATCGGATTTCAAATACCGCCTCGCAATCATCTTAGGATCCATGACAAGTTCACCTCTGCCAAACACCCTTGAGCTTGGAGATACATAAGCAGTCCTAAACTTTATAATTACATGTAACATATAGAATATATCGGCAATTGTCCGAAAACAAGTCACAATAATTCCAAGATTCAGATCAGTGCTCATACAAGATGAATTGCCATCATTCACAGCTGAAGGAAGATAGAAAAACAATGGATCAACAAAAAGTGCCACCATACAAGAAAACATGAAAATCCTGTTCCATTGCAAGACAATTTCACTCCCCGGATCAAGAATCCTTTTCCTCCACGGTTCATGATTTTCCGGGAAAATCTTGAACCCACCCTCGAATTTCAGATTCCCATTAATTCTAGCTTTCTCACCGATTCCACCTTCGGGCTTCAACAAAGGCGCTGAAACTTTGTACAGAGTTGAGGGTTTTTCGAGGTTTTGGCTATTGTTTGTTTCCCAGGAATGCTCAAGATTTTGCTTTTCGTCATTGTAAAACCTATGAACTCCCAAACCCATTAGTCAATCCACCAAAAAAAAAAAACACCCAGAAAAAAGAAAAAGGATAGTAGTCGAAAATTACCTCACTAGCTTCTCTTTCTTGAACTCCATGGCTTGTAATTAGGGTCAGATACACAAACCCAACTCGAGAGATGGTAACTGAAGATGAGAAAAAGCATTGATTGGAGCTCTACCCATTTTGAAGTTCCTTTTCAGGATTTACAACGCTGTGTTCATTGGTTTGAAATGGACCCAGAAACGAAGAGTTTGCAAAATCGACAAAAAGAACTGTTCATTTAGACATATAGGAATACTGGTTTCAAATGCCGAGAAGTTTTCGAGAGAGAGAGATGTGAATAAGGGTTGAACTGAGCTGACTCTTCATGTGGTTTGTCACCATGCGTTTGACCTCTCTAACAAATACAGTAAAGCACACCACCACAGCTGGAATGTAGCAAGCATCATCAATCTGAGAGAGAGAGAGAGAGAGAGAGAGAGATAAAAAATTAAAGAGTATGATAAATAATAATAAGTAATGTTAGAGATTTTAAAAGATTTATTAAAATTTTTATCAAATATCTTATATAAATATGAGACTCCGCATAAAATCCGTATAATATGAGTCTCACACTCATATAAAATATTTAATAAAAATTTTAATAAATTTTTAAAATTTTTATTTAATATAATTCTTTTCACATTTGAAAAATTATATTTTTTTTTCTCTGAGATTTGTAATCTCATTACAAATTACACTTTGGATTTTAAAATTTTTTAAATAATCATATTGCCATTTTTCTTACTATTTATTCTTTCTATTTTCGTGATTACATTTTACAACTTTCTATCATTAAATTCTATCTAAACATATTTTTATTGAGTGATGATATACAAACATAAATTTTATATAAAATTTTCAAATATAATGATATAACTTAATGGTGACCTTTTACTTAAAAATAAAATATTCATAAATATGATTTATATTTACAACAATATCACTATCATAACATTTTTATAATTTTTTATATATGAATATAATTTTTTATTTTTATTTTTATTTCCTGCATTATATTTATATTAGATTAATTTAATCTAGATATATTTAAAAAATATAAAATTTGTGCAAAAATTTTTTAAAAAATCTATTGAATACAACAAAATAAGATAATGTATTGAATTTTATATTTTTATATTTTAAAAAAAATCATAAAATATTATACTTCTTAAGTATATCTAGATTAGGTGTCTCTAAAAAATAAAAAATTGTTTAAAATATAAATATTAAAAAAATTCAGTAAAAATAAAAAAAAAATGAAAAATTTGAAAATTCAATTTTTTTTTTTTGTGTGAGTTAAACCAAAGAAAATGATTGTTATTTCATTTGAAATGACATGCACAAAATATCTGTATTATTTTATTATTTTACATGTATAAAGACTAAGAGACAAATATGTCATTTTAATTTGACTGGAGATAAATGTAATTTTTTAAATGTGAGGAAAATATGTATTAAATAAAAATCTCAGGGGGTGTCAATGTGATTTATCCAAAAAATAATATTTATCAAAGTTTGCAGAAAATACAATAAATCTTACGTATTTAGTATAGTTATATTGAACTCCCTAAAATTTAATTCATATAATACTTAATTCTCTTTTATTAAAAATTCATTAGATATATGAATAAAAAAAATTATGTTGTCATATTTTTATATTTAAATATATTTTTATTTTATTTATTTTTGTGTTTCTGTGGATGGGTGAAATTTATTTATTAATTTTAATCTTTTTAATCTTAGCAAAATAAAATTGATATTATTATGATGTCATGAAACTACTACTCAATTTTGATTATTTGTTATATGGACTTTGTTAAAGTGTATGTGAGAAAAAATAATGAGTTCCACTTATATTTTTTAATATGAACTCTATTGTTTTGTATTTAATAATAAATAAATAAATAAAAGATTTATTTATATAATTTTACTCTAAAACTTTTAGGCTTAGTTTGGTTTAATTTTTGAATTATGATTTGAGTTTTGAGTTTTTGAAAAAAGAAAACTTATTTGGTTATGAGTTTTGAAAATAGTTTTGAGTTATATTTTCAAATTTTTTGATTTTTTAAATATTTAAAAATTTTCCTAATTCTATTTTTTTAGGATAAATAATTTTTATTGTAAATATTTTTTTTAAATGCGCGGTCAATTATTTGGCAAATTCTTCAAAAAATACAAAATATTTTTTCTAAAAAAATAAAAATAAAAATAAAAATGAATTGAATTTTTTTCAAAAAAAATAAAATAAATAAATAAATAATTTTAAAGAGCAAAATAAAAAAAAATTGATTTTTTTATTAAAAAATTAGAGTTTTGAAAAGAGTTTAGTTATAAGTTTTGAAAAAAAAATTTATATTATATTTTGAAAACTTTGTTTGATTATAAAATTTGAATTTTTTTTATATAAATCATAATTTTAATATATGACCAAGCGCTACCGTAATGTCTTGCCTATGTTTTTCCTTTCTACAACACGAGTTGTATGCTGTGTTTGGTTGAAAGATTTAGGAAATGATTTAGAAAGGAAAAGGGCAAAGATGTGTAAAACTATGTCAAATATAGGCATATTTTATTCATATTTCACCTATTTTTCAATTTTCTTTTCCAAATCCTTCCTCAAATCCCCTAATCAAACACACCATTAGAGTATCTCTAATAAATTCTCCAAAAACTCATTGAAGTAAAATATTATCACAGTTAACGATATTTTATATTTTGTTTCCAATGCACGTTCCTTCTTGTTAATTACTTTTGTTAAAATAGTTGCTAACTATGACTACGGAAAGAGGGAAAGTGGCGATTTCTATAGTCTTTTTTGGTAAATTGTCGATTATTTTTTTTTCTCTTTAATTAAATCACACTCATACATATCAACTTTAATTATATTACACAGTTGGAACACCTATTTACTTCTTAAATTAAGAAACATTTTTCTTTATTTTTAGATAGGGAAAAAACAAAATTAGGACCTACTAGGCAAAACATCTAAAAGGACAACAGATTGAATCAAAGTTGAAACATGTAATACAAAATTATATACTACTTGTACGGGGAGCAAATATTTCGGCAAGCCCGTACTCCTTTCTTCCGAGCTCCATTTATGTCCGATCACCTGCGAGCAAATAACGGTGAGCTACCCGGCGGTGTGTGGCCGGAGAAACCCTCCGACGGTCAAGTTAGCACACATGTTAACCCAAACATCCATATTTTCAACCTCAATTTTTTAGTCCAAAAAGACAAAAAGTGCACTTATTTAGTCTTCCCAAACTTGGCCTGAATCAAAGTTGAAACATGTAATACAAAATTATATACTACTTGTACGGGGAGCAAATATTTCGACAAGCCCGTACTCCTTTCTTCCGAGCTCCATTTATGTCCGATCACCTGCGAGCAAATAACGGTGAGCTACCCGGCGGTGTGTGGCCGGAGAAACCCTCCGACGGTCAAGTTAGCACACATCTTAGGATAGAGAGAGAGAGAGAGAGAGAGAAAGAGAGAGAGAGAGAGAGAGGGGAGGTGTTTTAGTGTAAGAAAATCCTTACAAAGTGTTCATCTGCCGCGTATGGGGGGCGCAGACATGCTTATATACCCTCTGTGCCCCATATCTACTCCCAGTCATCTCCTGACACGTGGCTCCGCTATCCCATCTGTCAGCATAAACCTTGCTGAACATCACCTAATCTCAACTGCCTGCCTTCACAGCTGGAGCTCGGCAGCCGAGCTGCTCTATCTGTTGCCGTGCCGTGCCGTGCTTCATACCCAAGCACTTCACTGGCTAAGTCCAAGAAGGACCGGGCTAGGCGACATCTCGGCAAAGCCTAGCTCGAGGCACCTCCTGTGGCCGGCCTTTCTGCCAGACAAACAGTTACCTCGGCTGACCACGCCTTTCCGGGCGCCGGTCATTCCGCTTGTCTTGCTTCGGCCATCGCCTGGTTGAGCAGCTCGGTCCAACCGAGCAGCTTCTTTACGGTCTGGGGCGACACACACTCTGCCCAAGTTCTGCCCAGCCCAAGTTCTGGCAGCCCATCTCTTGGCGGATAGTCAATCATCTCGGCCCCATGCACCGTTGGGCTCTCAACCTGCTCGGCCATTACCACGGCCCAACTCCAGATCATAAATCACCCTCTCAATTGCCCCTTAATTCCGTCCGCGAAAGCGTGACTGAGATTACTTACTTCGACCGAGATAACATTCCTCCGGTCTCCAAGACGAGAAAGGGCGACCGGGCTAGTTAACATAACTGTCTGCGAACTTGACCGGTTGTACGCCACGGCTGACGTCCTCTTCTTCAGAAGTAGCTCGGTTGGCTCTTCGACTCTTCAACCCGTCGCTTCAGTCCTGACGTTCCATAAATGGGGACACGTGGTGGGCTGTCATTGGTCATCGAGCAGCCAACCCGCCGTTTTTGCCAGAATTTGAATTTGGGCGGCCTCTCGTGCTTACATATACAAGACCCCCCTTATGCCATTTCTTCCTACTGCCTCTTCTCTACCTGACGATTCAGAGCTCAAGCCATTTCCTCTCATACTCGACTGCCATTCTTCGTGCTTGGAAGAACAGCTCCAGCCCTTCACAGGTAAGATCTTCAATCCCTCTTGAGTTGCTATTTTCTTTCATATTACACACATTAGGGCACAAAAACGTAGTTCTAAGGGCATAGGCCATAGAATCCGTCCCAAACCTCCCACTGTTCTTGGTGTTCTTCATCTCCATGAAGAACACTGAAGAACTGGGGCGAACCGGGCTCCCGGTCTTCTTTTGATCCAAAAAACCATTCTGACCGAGCAAATAACGTGTTTGTCTCAACCCCGGCAAAAACCGAGATAACAAAAGGAAATGGTCGCTCAACCGGGCTAATATCTAGCCTGCCTGGGAGACCGAGCTCTTTAGTTAGCTTAGGAGACCGAGGTGGTTTGGCACCCTTAACGACCGAGCTACAGACTAGCTCCTTCCGCGCGACCGCGCTCACACTTACACTTGCCCTCCTTTTCCTGCAGAGTCCAAGGGGACCACTGTCCATTCCTCAGGTTCTCAAGACCGAGCGATTAACAATTGCCATTGTGCCAAACAGCTCAACCGAGTTATCACAGTCCGGCCATAAATGGGGAAATTCCGCTTCCTAGTGGATACTCCGGCAGCGCTAGCTGCTTTCAGAGAGGAGTACGGCATCCCGGCCGACGTCCATCTCGAACTGGCTGAAGAGGAGACAACACCCTGGGGCAGACTAGACCAATGCCCCTTCACCGTGCTCTCAATTGTCGAAGGGGGCCTCCGTTTCCCGCTCAACCCACTTATAACCGAGTTCCTCCGCCGCACCGGGCTGGCACCCACACAAGTGTCCACCAATACTTATAGAATAATCAACGGCGTTCACGAATTGAACAATCGGCTAGGCACCAACTTGGGTCTAGCCGAGATATTGAGGCAATACACAATGGGC